TGATGTTTTGGGCACGAAACTCCATCATATTTAGAAAAGACTGGAATTTTAAACTTGTATGGGATAACAACTCCAGGTACCAAGCCCAAATCACCAAACTCCAAGCCAGGCACGACTTGAATTTCCATAGCTCTCAGCCTCTCTTCCAGTTGCTTGTATTTATCCTCGACCGGTGGATATTGTTCATCAAGGTAATCTTCATCCTCATAAGCTTGACCATTTTCACCCCCAACGCGGGTGCTCCTTACATCTTCGTCCTGGTTCTCGTATCCCTTAGATGACTCTTCAACTACTTGCACTTGGCGGACGGGACCTTTAAACCTTTTCCCCGTGCTGATCATTTCTTTCTTCTTAGTCTTCTTTTTGGCCACCAGTAACGACATCAACTCTTGTTGTCCCTTGGCCAGGGTCAGCAAAGTTTCTTGGAATTGAGAGTTCTGCTTTTGCAAGTCTTTCACGGTTTGCTCGATATCCATCATACTTAAATAAACAGTAGAAAGATGAGGAAACTTGTGCTTGAAAACTGCCTATGTCACGATGCATGAAATGCGTATGAAAATGATTTCAAGGACTTTTAAGATTTAAATTTTCTTAGACAAAGAGAGAACAAACATTAATTGCATTAATAAGTTCAAACAGTTACAAAAATGTCCCTTGGGCTTACAATGGAAGAAACAAAGACAATACAAAATAAACTCCTAAAACAAAAAAGAATCAAGCTTCCCACGAGCGCATCCTCTTTGCTGCAATGTAGGCGTTCAAACTTCGCTCTTCATGAAGTTGTCTCGTAAGCTCCATAACCTTCTTCTCGCTTACGTAGAACTGGGTTTCAAAGGTGTCTCACTCCCCTTTGAGTTGAATCCATGATCTTTGCAACTCCTCGAGAGTATTCGGCATGTAAGGATGAAGAGTAGTGTAAGGAACATCTCCCTCGACAAGAGGCTCCATGATGATAGGTAGAATGGCCTCATAATGCATCATGAGATTTTGAGCGCGTGCTCGCACCCACTTAAGATAAGGCTCCAAAGGAATGGAGTTCTTATGCCCCAATGTCTTGCTATCAACTTTGTTTACCATGCCCCAAGCTCATATGAATCTCTAACAATAACCTTGGACATCGTTCTCATAGTCAAATGCAATTCCTTGGACAAGTGCATCATGAGGACCATCCCTCCTAGCATACCCAAACTGTCGCAACGCCAAACAAGGATTATAGGTGATTCCTCCCCTAATTCCAAGGAAAGGGACATTAGGGAGTTCCCCATAGCGCTAAATGATGGTAACGTCCTCCAAAGGTCGAGGACACCAATGAATATCCGAATGTGTGAGGGACATCAACCTATTAGACCGTCTCATGCCTTGCTCATTCTTCAAAACAGATCGAGGTAGGTGAGAAATAAACCACCTAGCCAACAGAGGAGTGCAACACATAAGAATTCCTCTTCTCTTCATGGCGCGAGTGTGAAGAGAATGTAAGATATCTCCAAGCAAGGTATGTATTGGGTTACGAGATAGAAAAACTTTGACAACATTCACGTCTATGAGTTGGTCCGGGTTAGGAAACAACACCATCCCATAGATTAGGAGAGCCACCACTTCTTCAAAAGCTTACAAATCCAGAGCCTCCCAAAATTGTTGAGCCTTCTAAAACAGAAACTTGGCTAGAAACCCTTTAACACCACTTCTTATTTCGCAATTTGCCACGACGTCGGACCGTTGCAAATGTAAAGCTCGAGCAATCTCCTCAGGTCTTGGTTCTCTCTCAATACTAGTGAAAGGTAATTTATCAAGAATAGGCACTCCTAAGAGTTAAGAAAATTCTTCCATAATAGGAACTAGTTGGTAATCAGGAAATGTAAACAATGGTGCTTAGGATCAAAGAATTGGAAAAGCACATGTACCATATCCTCTTCAAAGTTTATTGTAACCAAGTTGATGAGATGATCGTACTTCTTGGTGAACGGAGAATCATTGGGAACCCTTGATTCTAATTCCTTGAGTTGAGGAGGCAGCTCATAAGGTTGATTCGGATGGTATTTCTTCACATGAAAGCCATGTCCTACAAAACAACACAAAGAAAAATACCAAAGACCTTGAAATGTTTAGTGAAAATGAAATGCTATGATGTCATGATGTTATATGTAAGTAAACATACACAAGCAAAGCAAACAGATCCTTAGGTTTAGGCTTGCGTGAGGTTTCATTGGTAAATACCCTCTTGAAGTTTAGTTGGTTCAACCTATCCTAGAAAGTAACCGGGTTCTAGGGGATCTCAATATCATTGATCTTTCTTCATTGAGCATTATTTCAGTGCAAGCCTCTTTATTAGCGACCAAAATATCTCGAAAGTCGGATCTCAATGAGTGTAGTATTGAGTATCAACCAACTTTGGACTGCACCAAAGCCGGCTATCTCATTACTTCCTAATGGCCAAGTTGTTCAATTAAAGGTTCTAAGGTTCGTTTGTGCTTCACGACACCACACAGCAGCCCCGTATTCTCCTTAATTCGCCATAAGGGATACCGGTACCCACAAATGTGCCACACTAACATAGCTATTGTTTTAACCATATCGATCTATGTCGTACAGTCTCCACAATATTTTCTATTTACCTAATGGTGTTCCCATATTCGGGTAGAGGATCAAAACAAACCCAAATAAAGGCCCAAAATATAAAGCAAACAAATCAAACAATAAAAGCAATTAAATGTGATCTAGCTCTAAGGTAACCCCACGTTTAAGTAATCCCCAACAGAGTCGCCAGTTCTATAATACGGTGGGATATCTGACTTGGGTGTTTTGTGTTTTATCGCAATTGTTGGGGATAGCAAGAGTCGCCATCAACTTTTCTTTTATCCAATACAGGAAAGAGTGAAAAGAACATGAAAGACCTTTTGAGATATTTTCTTGAGTTCGGGGGTAGGTTATGAAAAGGGAAGGTGTTAGCACCCTTTTCATCCGTAGTTATCTACGGGCTCTTAGTTGCTTGATCATTTTGAAAATGCTTTGTTTGAAATGTGTTTGTGTTTGGTGCAAGTTTGAAAATATTTTGAAAACTGCCTTTGTTTCGGCAAACTTTATAATGATTCTTGTCTCTATAAGAATGTATACAAAGTGTTAGTTTTGAAAATAGTTCAAAGAGATGTTTGTTTTTTTGAAGATGTTTTGAAAGTGTAAGTGTGAAAATGGTTTTAGTTTGTGAGCAAGCAACTACGAGCGTCCTACCTACTCAAAAGGTATTTGTTCTTTTCCTTCTCCTTTAGATGTTGTTATTTTACCATTAATTGGTAAGAAGCCCTATCATTGGATGTGAAGGGACAAGCATGGGTCAATCGCACAATCATAGAAGGCAACTTGTGAGACGCTTTAGAAATTTTTCGTAAGGGACTAGATCATTTTACCAAAGGAAACATCGAGGGACATCGAGGGACTACGATCTTTTTATTGAAGGGTCTTTGCTAAAGCGTCCCACATTCGAGGGACATGACTGTTTTTTGAGGCAACAAGCGAGGTTACCCTAGAGGTGCGTGTGTGAAAAGTGTGTTTGATTCAAGTTAATTTGTCTTTGATTAGGGTTGTCTAGCGGTTAATTTTAAATCTTTCCATACACGCCTAATTCCTATACAGTATAAAGAAAAATAGTAAATTGCGGAAATTAAATTCTACGCTATTACAGAGCTTTCGGGAATGGGGAATACAAATTTACAAATGAGGATGGATCGAATCGTAAATGTGATTAAAAGTCTAAATAGGCAATCAATACAACCAAATCGAATCGAAAAATTAATTAAAACTACAACAATATATGAAGTAAAAATTAATTAACAAAGTTTGGAAATAAAATTCTTGGTATTTTTGGTTTGTGAGAAATTTGGAAAGAAAATAAAGAATCTATTCTATTATTTTTATTTGATTTTTATCATGCCGACACTAAATAATTTAAAAGAAAGTTTATTAAACTATATATAGAATATTAATAGAATTATTAACAAAGTCCTAAATTAATTAACTAATCTTGAAATTATATGTCTTTTATTTAATTGAGTTTTAAAATTAAAATTAAAGATTAACAAAATTAAATCTAAAATAAATAAAATTATTAAATAAATCTAGAATAACTTAAAATTATAAGTTACTAAATTAATTCTAAAACTAAATTAATAAAAAAAATCTAAGTTACTAAATTAATTCTAAAACTAAATTAAAAAATTCTAAATTAATTCTAAACTAAGTTAAAGTTCTAAAGTTCCTAAGTTAAATCTAAACTAAATTAAAAATCTAAAATGACTAATTAAATTAAAATTATAAAATTATTACAATAATTCTAAGTCAAAATTAATTACTAAAACCATCTAACTAAAAGACTATATGATTTATTTCATTGATTTTAAGAAATTAAACTAGGAAAAATAGCAAAATAAAATAAATTAATCAAACAAAGGTGCAAGGAGAATTATAAGAGGTGTGCTTTTTTTGAATGGGCTTTAGAGGTTACAATCCAAGAATTTTTTTTATTACCAAAAAGAAGAAATTAACAATCAGAAAGAAAGAGGAAAATGTCCCAGGGGGTCTCGAACCCGGGACCTTTCCTCCAAACCATCACACCTTAACCAACTACACCATTTGTTTCATTAGTTTATTTCTATTCATTTATTAATACAAAAGGGCAAAAACTATGAAATGGGTTGGGCCAAAAGATAGGTCCAAACCCGGTTTTGGGAAGTAAACAAAAGAACAATTGAGAAACCCAAAAGATAGAGAGGCGCCACATGCAGTGTTGTATTGGGAAGGGAAAGAAAAAAATTAAACCCCATTATTACTGACAAACTCTGTTCTCTATATTCTTATCGTGAAACAAAAATTGAAAGGAATCTCTCTCTAAAAACCACTTCATCTTCCTCTTTCCCTTTCCCCTCAAACTTAAATCTCTGCGCTTCTCTCAACCAAACACTCATTCAACAACAGCTCTCGATTTTCTTTTTATTAAAATATCTTCCTCGCTACGATTTTTTGTGTCGTGTTTGGTTTCTGAAATTCGAGGATAACAGTTGAAAACGTGATTCCTTTGTTTCTCGCTTTCGAATCTGAATGACTCGCCTTGTTCTAACCGGTTTAGGCCTCAGTGGGATGAAACCCGACGAGGCACGTGACTTCGTGCAATATAAGGAGTCTGTGTCGTAGGAGAATCCTCCAGAGCTAGAATCGGAAAAAATGGAAGTGCAACTGAAGAATATAAAGTCTTGTTCGAGATCATGGTGATGGAATTTTCTGTTGTCGGATTTTTTTTTACAATAGGGACAACTTTTTTTTTGTTTTTTTTTGTTTGTTGTGTTGTCGTGCAATACGGAGGGTTTATAGTGATTAAGCGGATGAACAATGGAAAAGAAAGTATGTTTACATGATGAGGGTGGAGGTTTATTGGAGTGTTTTAAGGTGATTTCAGCAATATAAATTGTAGAAAAGGGTTGGAAGAGGTAAGTTATCATTTTTTTAATAGTTTTTCTGTGTAATAACTTTTCTATTTTATTTGATTATAACAAAAAATATAATGCATGCAGATAACAGATTCAACATTTATGATGAATGCAGAGAAGTAATGAAAATTTACCGGTCTGGATCTGCTTCTGAAAATATTGTGCTTAATTCCTATTTTTTCTTTATTTTCTATTTTTCTTGTTTTTGAAGGGTATGGGAAAACGATGATAAAAAAATGGTCTTTGATGCTTTGCCTTAATTTTTGTTGAATAGAAATACTGAGGTTATTTTCAGATTTGGCTGGTTGTTGTAAAAAATGTTATGTTTCCCTTTTTTTGATGAACAACCGATCTGGTCCCCTTTTGTTATGTTATTTGTTTTTTCTTATATCAATATGAGAATGAAACTTTTTGGGGGGAAAAGAAATGGGGTTTGAAAATTTGTGATGCACTGTCTTGCTGCTTTCCTGATATAGTTTCGGTTCTGGTTAAGTTTGTGCATGTTTTGGACTGGCTTGGTACAAGTTTGTGCATCAGTTAGGTGGTCAGCTTTGCAACAGTTTTTTTAGACTATCATGGGCAGCAGTTTGTTTTGATAGTACTTGGCCTTTTGCGTTTGTCTTTTTTACAATAATGCAGGCTGGTTTTCTATTTTTGATAGTATTTTGTTTTCTTTGTGAATCAAAATATGTTTTGTGATTTGCAATGAAAACATTTTTGGGCCAATGATAAAAAACTGATTGGCAAAGATAAATGAGGCCTTTGTTGGGCTTTGGAAAATGATTTAATGGTGAACTCCCTAAACCGCGCACTGATTCTTTTGAGAAAACCCTAATGATGAGAAGAAAAGTTCTTTGAAATTTCTTATTTTTTGTTTCAAACATGAATTGTTTGCTAACCATTTCTCTCTTTCTTTGTTACATGTACTAGCAAAATGGACAATAGGAAGAATTGGTGAAGAGTGACTTGAAGTGTTTAATGAAGACTTGAAGATAACGAAATTCCTTTGTAGCTTAGTACATTGTTAGGAATTTTGTAACATTGCGAATTTTGTGATTTGATTTTTGAGGTTTAGAAACTTGTTAAGTGTATTCCAATTCACTTGTAAATTTAAACAATGAATTCCAATTCACTTTGTAAATTTAAACAATTAAGCTTTGTTGTAATCTTGTATTCTTGAATCATCTTGAATTGTAATGTGTGTAAGACAAAAAATATCTTGCAACTTTGTTATTGAAATAAATGAAATTTATTTCAATGGATTTTGTTCTGGAACTTCTTGAAATAATCCTCTAGAAATTAAGGTGCATTTTTCTCAAAAATTCCAAATTCATAAATCTTCTAGAATCGATATTGCAATTTAATTGACGAACTTAGATACTTGATTTTATGGCATTGGGTACTAGAAAGAAAATTTCACAACATCTGAATCAATTCTTGATTCAAATTCAAGCAATCCATCACTTTCACACTCGTACTTCAATTCACATAATCAAACGGCGCTTTGAGAAATCCCGTCATGATATGAATGGAAATTAGAGTTGAGAATTTTTTTTCAAATCAAAACATGAACCATAATTTTTCAATAAATTCCATAGCATTCAAAGCATAATTTAACTTTGATTTGTAGATGACATTCCTTTAAAACATTCGAATTTCTGATAATCTTTCGCACGTAATCGGCTCTTGACTTGTAAAGAGAGGTTGGAGATGACATCAAGGAGAGTCATACGCAAGAAGGAACCACTCAAACATATTGAATAATAAAGAAGTTACAATTGTTTGAATGTGATCTTGAAAAGGTCGACTTTTGATCAATGCAGTTGATTTTCAATCATCTGAACTATCGTATGAGCAAACTTGCAATGCAAGGTTTGAAACTTGGCACAAACATCCTTGAGAATACATGAAGAACCATGAAGACCATTTGAAATCTTGGAAACTCAATTTTCTTTGTGAAATACCAAACCATGGTTGCTGAATCAATGCTTTGGAAGAGAATCTATCTGATCAAACCCTAAGCCATTTTGAATATTTGAGACACCCTAGGATAGCATCTTGAATGAAAAATGGGAGGGAAAATTTGGGTTTTGAGTTTCTCAAGGAAATTTGGGTTGCAAAGGTCTCAAATGATTTCCATGGTTCATCTTAGGTCCTTAACAAGGTTCATGTCAAGTTTCAATTTTTGCATCACAAGTTTGTTCAGTCAATGGCTCGGATGACTGAAAATCAACTGTATTGGGTAAAAAGTCAACTATGACCAACATACTGTCAAACTTCAATATTTTTGGTCAACATCAACATTTTGAAGTGATATTCATTATTTGATCAAGGTTTGATCATGATTCCCTAAAGAAAGCTCACAAATCATCAAAAAGTCAAGAATTGTTAAATGAGGGTTTCCTTAGGAGAAGTCAACTGAACTTTGACCAACCATAACTTTCACATGCTTCATCAAATTTTCCCCAACCAAAGCCCATTTTGAATAAAATTCAATTCTCTACAACTTTTTTTATGCTCCAATCCAAAAAATCCTTCATTTGAAAGATATGAGCTAATACATTATAGGTCATTTTTAAAAGTCAATAAAAGACACTTTTTGTCAAGGTAACTTACATCAAGGTAATGTCTCCAAATGCAAAAATGATCAAAATAGAAAGTGTAGAGTACATCTTGAGATTTTCAAAAAGTCCCAGATCATCTTCAAAAGGTGAAAATTAAGTAAGTTATGAGTTATACAAGTTGGGAAATTTTGAGGAAATTTATGAAATGCAAAATGAACAAGCTTGAGATTTTGAACTTATGGCCTAATTTTTTGAGCTTCATACATGATCATGACCTTAAGAGAGACTCTTAAACTCACTCACACCTTGTCCTATATTTTATCATTATTTTATTTATATTTTATTTTGTTTTTATTGAAATAAAGTCAAAATAAATAAATAAAATAGGAAACAAATGGGCCAGGCACGTGGTTTGATTCCTTAAGGCCCATACAACATATTACAGCCTGTGAAACATGCCAAACATCGTGCAACTTCAAAAATGGCAAGGGATCTTACAAAGATGGAAGATTTTCAATGTGTTTTATCTTGCTTTATCATGGCTTCATGGCTTTGATTCCATTCCATATTTGTCAGCCCAAATTATTCCTCTATATAAAGCAAACAAAAGTAGATCAAGTGACACGAAAAACACTGCATACAAGCTCTCCAAAAATTCTCCAAAATTAAAAAAAAAGTTGTAAAATTCGTAGCTGCACTCCCAACCCATATCAATCCAAACAAAAACCATCAACCCACTCCTGAGTCCCCCAGGAGTCCTCCAGAGCCCATATTCAAGCCCTACGCATCCCATATCCTCCTCATAATCATACCAAGGTTTTGGTAAAAGTTTTGATTTCAAACTCTCTGATCATGTGATTTAAATCAGTATTATGCATACATTCATGTTATTAGTGATATCTGGAAGAATCTAACGTGGTACATGTGAGCTAGGTTGCCTGAATATGAAAATTCCATAGTTAGGGCAATGAGCTTCTTAAGCTTCGGATTTCGCATTACAAGGACTTTCAGCCCAAACAAACCCCAGATTCAGATTTAGGGGGAAATTTCAAGGGGGTTAGGGTTAATCTGAGACTTTAATTTATGTTGTTTTCCAGGTTTGAATTTTAGAGCCACCGAAGAAGAAAGAGTTGACCACCGTGAGGGGTGGTCTGACTCGTCTAAGAAACTATGTGGCAAAATAGAGTGTCACGATTGGTTTGTTCAAATATCCAGGGTCCCACCATGCACACGTTTATTTGATTGGTTGAGATTAGATCATGTTTTATAATATATTGTTTAATTTGCATTACACTACTGGATCTGCAACGCCTAACGCCTAGTCCTAGGTTCGATCCAGATGCAAGGCGTTTTTTTATTTTCCATATTTCTTCTTGCAGATCCAGTAGGAATCAACCCAGCACGCATGGTGTGCCTCTATCAAACAGCCAACAGATCTCTAGACTCCAGATCCCACGCCTCAAAACAACCAGCCCCATGGTGCACCCCAAGAAGCTTCCCCCACTAGATCTCCAAGCGCCTGGGCCCTCTTACTATTGGGCTTGGAATTATTTGTTTTTAATACCCCCCAGATTACTCTTGTAGCGCAGCCCATTTATTTTTTTGTTCTTTTGTTTTAACTTAGTTGTTTTTTTCTTTTTAATCATTTTTCTTTTTTTAAAATTTAATCAGAAAATCAAAAAAACATTAGATTTAAGTTTCTTAATTAATTAATTTTTGTTAATTTTAATTAATTTAACTTTTTTTAATTTTAATTGATTTGACTTAATCATTTTGAGTTTATTTTTTTCAATATTGTAACTGTCCATAATTTGTAATAGATAAATAGGACCCTTTTACCCCCCCCCCCCCCCCCCCCCCCCCCATTTCTGGTTTGTACTCTCCCATTCCCGAAGCGATGTAATAGCGTAGGTTACTTTCTGCTTTTTTTTCCGCACTTGTATATATATTAAACTGTTAGCTTAATAGGATTGTATGGTAAGACTTAAAAGAAAACGCTAGAAAATCTAACATCCAAGATAAATATAACTGAAACATAACACACTTCACACACACGCACCTCTAAGGTACCCCCACTTGTTGCCTTCGGAAAACAAGCAGTCACGTCCCTCGCTGACCCTTCGATGCTACCTCGGTACATGATCTTAGTACCTTAGGGTAATTACTAAGGTGTTCTACGAGTTGCCTTTGTGACTGTACGATGATCCGCACATGTTCCTCAAAACATCTAATGATAGGGCTACCTACTAACTCATGGTAGGACAACACTATCTAAAGGAAAAGAGGAAAAGAACAAAGACATTTTGAGTAGGTAGATAGCTTCTAGTTGCTCGCTCACCAAACAAAACAATTTCTTACACATACACTCTTTTTTTTCTAAATATTTTCAAAGACAAAACAATTTGTATGCATTCTCAACGATACGAGAATAATTACAAAGTTTTCCGCACTAAGGCATCGTTTCAAAATATTTTCAAAAAATACACTTACACACAAAGTATTTTCAAAGTGAGCTAGCAACTAAGAGCCCATAGATAACTACAGATGAAAAGGGTGCTAACACCTTCCCTTTTCATAACCTACCCCCTTACTCCGAAAAATTCTCGAAAGGTCTTTCCTATTCTTCTCACCCTTTCAATTGTTAGATAAAAGAAAAGTCGGTGGCAACTCTTGCTAACCGCAACATTTGAGATAAAACGCAAAACCAGTAAAGTCACTTCTCCCACCGTATTACACATGGGCTTCAGTATTTATAGTCCAGAAGTTTCTTGATCCACAAGCTGAGTGATGCACCTTTTGGGCAGCCAATCTCCTTAAATCTTGGAACAAACCAATACATAGGTTTCTAATTTTTCTTCAAGGCCCAAATTAGTATCTTCTGTACAGTTGGAGATGTAATATGTTCCAAAACAAATCTTCATAACCTGCAAGAACATCTGAGACAAATCCCAAAAGAAATCTCCCAAATAAAAACAAATTTACGAAGACTTAAAAAGAACAGCGCCTTGACTGCTACACCAGAACATGATGTTGTGATATCCTGTTCGACATCTGGTCAGAGACCATATTTTAGAATTTTTTTGTCAATTCCCTAAAACCATGGTACTAACAAATTTCATGTATTTACCTTTGTTAAGACATTTTGATAAAATAAACACATATAGTTGGAGCCCAGCTGTTTTGGCTTATATATATAGTTTTTTGTGTAAAAACGCATGGAACAACACTTGTTCTTTCTATTTATGTGCCATTTTGCTCCAGACATGGGGCTGGTCGAGAATGCTAACACTCGTCCTTCGCAACAAGGCCATTTGTATTCCCCTTTACTACAAAGTAAG